CCCGGCCCGGACGAGGATGAGGAGGAGGAGGAGGAGGAGGAAGAGCGGGCGAGGCCCCTCCTGCGGCTCTGGGGGGGCTGGGGGGGCTCCGGGGCCTCAGGTGAGGAACTGGGGGGGACTGGGATGGACTGGGAGGGACTGGGAGGGACTGGGAGGGAACTGGGATGGACTGGGAGGGGACTGGGATGGACTGGGATGGACTGGGAGGGGATTGGGAGGGAACTGGGAGGGAACTGGGAGGGGACTGGGATGGACTGGGAGGGACTGGGAGGGACTGGGAGGGAACTGGTGGCAAACTGGTGAGACTGGAGCGGGTGGGACATGGGAATTTTTTTTCCCCTTTTTTCCAATTTTCCCCCAATTTCTCCCCATTTTTTCCCCCTTTTCCCTCCCATTTCCCCCCATTTTTCCCCATTTCCTCCATTTCCTCTCCCATTTTCTCCACCTTCCCTCCCATTTCTCTCCACTTTTCTCCCTCTCTCCATTTCTCCCCATTTTCCCCATTTCTCTCCCATTTCTCCCCGTTTTTCCCATTCTTCCCCGATTTCTCCCCATTTCTCTCTATTTTGCTCCCCGTTTTCCCCATTTTCTCCCATTCTCTCCCATTTCTCCCCGATTTCTCTCCATTTCTCTCTCATTTTTTCCCATTTCTCTCAATGTTTCCCCCATTTTTCTCCCCATTTCTCCCCTTTTTTCCCAATTCTCTCCATTTTTCTCCCATTCTCTCCCATTTTCTCCCATTTCCCCACGATTTCCCCCCGATTTCTCCCCTTTTTTCCCATTTCTTCCCATTTTCCCCCTGATTTCTCCCCATTTCTCTCCATTTCTCCCCTTTTTTCCCATTTCTCTCCCATTTCTCTCCCAATTCTCTCCATTTTTCTCCCATTTTCTCCCATTTCTCCCCGTTTTTCCCATTTCAATTTTTCTCCCATCCTCTCCATTTTTCCCCCTTTTCTCCCCCATTTCCCCCATTGCTCTCCCATTTTCCCCCGATTTCTCCCCTTTTTTCCCATTTCTCTCCCATTTCTCCCCGTTTTTCCCATTTCTCTCCCATTTTCTCCCCATTTCTCTCCCCATTCCCCCCGATTTCCCCCCACTCCCCCCCACCTGTCCCCCCACAGACGCCCCCTCCCCCAGCACCGCCGACCCCGACAGTTCCCGCGACGCCTCCGAGGACCCCGAGGAGCCTCCCCGGGACCCCCCGGGGGACGCCCCTGCCCGGGGGTCTCGCCCCACCTGCGACCTGTGCGGGAAAAGTTTCACCTCGGGCTCCTCCCTGCGCCGCCACCTGCGCGCCCACCCGGGCGGGGCCGCCTTCACCTGTTACAGGTGCCGGGGCTGCTTCCCGTGCGGGGCCGCTCTGCGGGACCACCTGGCCACGGGCTGGTGCCAGCCCCGACCCCACAAATGCCGCAGCTGCCCCAAGCGCTTCGCCTCGGCGCGCTCGCTGCGCAAACACCTGAGCGTGCACCGGGACGGGGCCCCGCGGTGCCCGGACTGCGGCAAAACGCTCACGTCGCAGGCGTCGCTGGTCACGCACCGGCGGATCCACACCGGGGAGCGCCCGTTCGCCTGCCCGGACTGCGGGAAAGGTTTCATGGCCACCAAATCGCTCAGCAAGCACCGGCAGGCTCGCCACGTCACCGGCGGCTTCATCTGCCCCGAGTGCGGCAAGAGCCTCTCGTCGCACCCCGCGCTCGTCACGCACCGGCGGATCCACACCGGGGAGCGCCCGTACGAGTGTCCCGACTGCGGGAAAGGCTTCATGGCCGTCAAATCGCTCAGCAAGCACCGCAAATCGCACCGCGACCCCCGCGACCCCCGCGACCCCCGCCCGTGCCGCGATTGCGGCGAGGGAGGAGCGGCCGCGTCCTGCCCGCACCGGCGGGGGTTGGGTCGCGATGGTTCCGAGAGCGGGGCGGGGGTCCCGGAGCCCCTCCGGAACGGGTCTGAGAGCGGCGCGAGGGTCCCGGAGCCCCTGAGGCCGCTTCGGAGCGGTCCCGAGAACGGGGCGGGGGTCCCGGAACCCGCCCGGGATTGCCCCGATCGCGGTTCGGGGCTCCCGCAACCCCCGCGGCTCCTCCGGGACGGCTCCGAGCGCAGCGCGGGGCTCCCGGAGCCCCTCCGGGACCGTCCCGATGGCGGCTCGGTGGTGGCGGAGCCCGGCGCGGGGGTCGCGACCGCTGCCCCGGAGCCCTCGCGGCCCCCCAAGCGGCGGCGCCCGGCGTGCGAGGTGTGCGGGAAGGCGTTCCGGGACGGCGCGGGGCTGCGGCGGCACCGGCGCGTCCACACCGGCGAGAAGCCGTTCGGCTGCGGCGAGTGCGGGAAGCGCTTCTGCACCAGCTCCAGCCTCGTGATCCACCGGCGCAGCCACACCGGGGAGCGGCCCTACCCCTGCCCGCGCTGCGACAAGAGCTTCGTGTCGCGATCGGCGCTCATGAAACACCTGCAGACTCACCTGCGCAAGGAGCTGCGGGAGCCGGAGCGGCCCTGAGCGCCGAGCGGAGCGCGGATCCCGGGAGCGGAGCGAGAGGGGATCCCGGGATGTGAGAGGGGATCCCGGGATGAGAGAGGGGATCCCGGGATGTGAGAGGGGATCCCGGGATGTGAGAGGGGAGCGGAGCGGGGATCCCGGGAGCGGAGCGAGAGGGGATCCCGGGATGTGAGAGGGGATTCGGGATATAACCGGGAATTCTCGATCTGAGCGGGGATCCCGGGATCGGAGCGGGGATTCTGGATCTGAGTGGGGATCCCGGGATTTGAGAGGGGATTCTGGATCGGAGCGGGGATTCCAGGATGTGAGCGGGGATTCGGGATCCGGGATCTGAGCTGGGATCGAGGATATAACCGGGAATTCTCGATCTGAGCGCGGATCCCGGGATCGGAGCGAGAGGGGATCCCGGGATGAGAGAGGGGATCCCGGGATCGGAGCGAGAGGGGATCCCGGGATCGGAATGGGGATCCCGGGATCGGAGCAGGGATCCGGGATCTGAGCGGGGATCGGGGATATAACCGGGAATTCTGGATCGGAGCGGGGATCCCGGGATCTGAGCGGGAATTCTGGCCCTGACCGGGAATCCCCGTGGTGGAATTTGGGTGCCCGCCTCAGGGACCCATGGAAAATTTTGGGTGCCCTCCCCAGGGATCGATGGGTGAATTTTGGGCGCCCCTCTCAGGGCCTGGAGATGCTCCCGTGCATCCAGCTCACATTTTAGAGGATAAAAAGTTTCTTTTTTTTTCCCAGTTATCCACTGCCAGAAATATTCCGGTATCCCAAGGGAACCCCGGGGTTCCCTGAGGGCTGCTCCGTCCGGGTTTTTTTTTATTTTATGGATGTGTCATTTCTGTGTTTC